ATGAATAAATAAAGAAATAAATAATTATAAATGAAATATATAAATATAGTAATATGCTAGCTAAATTAGTAGAATAAAAAAAAAGAGAAATTCTATTAAGAAATTATCTATAGCTAAAATAACTCAAATAAATCAGATGACTTTTCTTGGCATGATCAGGTAATTGTGATGCAGTATGTCACATGTGATGCAGTATGTGGCGCAGTAATAATTTGTAAGATAAAAGATAAATATAATATAATTATTAATAACTAATCTAATTTTATTACAGCAATATTATGATAAATAAGCATTATCAGATTGCAACTAGTTGTATTATTAATAATTTTAAGTTATAATGTTATAATAAATAAAATATCACTATGTTACAATAGTTGTGATATTTATCATATTGATTATTACTTCTTGAAATTCTGTATTTGTTACTGAAAGTAATTCTTTAATAATTTACTATATCTCTTGGTACCAAAATTAATCTCTCTTTCTAACTAAATTTTTTGTGCTCTTCTATCTCTTTATATTAGATACCATCAAGATATATCTAAATAAATTCTTGTTGAATATAGCTTTGCTATGAAATATTTTTCAAAAATTAAGAGATATTTTCTCTAGATCCAAATACTTAAAGAGGATATTTATTATCTTTTTGACTATGTTAATACAAGATCAATATGAATGCTACACAAGACTATCCAAGAATATTAAGACCTCTATCAACCAATAAACTGCTTTTCACGATGAAAAGATATATAAATATACATGATGTTCAAATGCTTATAATTTTTTTCTAAAAGATATTTTGAAATTCTGACCATCCTAATAAACAATATTATAGGTTTAGTTTTTTAAATCCTTTTTCTATAAAGCGTTAATAGGCTTTAAAAAATTACTCAATTTTATTGGCGAGCTAAGATGTCTCGCACCATATTCAAAAAGTAAAGGCTATACATGTATGTAGCATTACGCTTATCCAATTTTAAAGCATGAAAAATTAATCGCAAACATTCATGTAAATCTTTATTGACATACGCTCCTTTCTTATATAAACCGGAAACTCTAAGCATAGCAGGTTGGAATCCTTTTTCTGCTGCTTTTAAATACCACAATGCTTGTTTTCTCCCGCGCTGATATCCAGCATGTTTATACATGCCCTGTGGATGTCCAGCTATTGCTGCTTTCTCATAGTACTTTATGGCGCTATCGTGATCGCACGAAATTCCAGAACCGAGACGAAAGCACATTCCTACTTGCGTTAACGCGAATCCGTCCCCAAGTCTTGCAGCATCATTGTAAAGTTCGAATGCTTTTCCATAGAAATATGGTGCTCCTATTCCGTACTGATAGCAAAATCCGAGTAGACTTGTGTATTTTGCCATTGCTGATGGCGGAAAAGCAGATACATGCGAAAGCAATTGAAAAGTTTCCGTCTTCGTTTTCTGGCTATTTGAGATGTGTCTATCGATTATGCTCAAAACTTCATTATCCCAAAATTTGTAGGTCGCGTCTTCATATATTTTCACGAGACCTTGAACAAAATCTTTATCCGTTGGTGGTGTTGTTGCACAATCCATATCGTTATTGCTTAAAAGATTTGAATTTTTTATGATTTCTGCTTATTATTTTTCGTTTTGGTTTAAAAATTATTGGAGAAATTCTTTATTATGCACATGTTATGATAATAGCGTAATTTATTAATGTCGCAGATTTAATCCAAATTAGGGTAGTATGGATTGTAATACATCAATAATAGGTAATACATAGTTTACGATTTGATAAGCATATATACAGTGGCGCTCAAAAGTATTGCATCACCCGGACGATAAATTTCACAATATCAATCAATATATAAATAGGCTCATTATAATGCCTATATATGGACAAAACATCGTATCATATTTATTTTCC